CTTAAAAGCATTCACCTAAATAATGGATTTTTAAACATTCTTACTTATGCAGTTGTCTGTTTCAGTCACCACCCAAGCATGTCAACTCATTGCCGATAAAAATGAACGTCCATAACAAAAGTTGCGAATGAATATGCCTAAGATTAATTAGAAAACTTTCTATAGCAAGTTACCTCTTGAAAAGGCGCTTTATTTGTGTATTTTGGGGTCGAATGTCTGCGAACTTTATATTTTAAGAGGAAGTCAAGATCAAAATGGTAAGTATCGGTCAGTTTTCTGACTTTCCTAGAAATCAGGGATACATCTGTTGCTGAACATGAAAGAACTCGCTTTTCTATGTATACCGGAGCAATTTTCAGTATCTTTGTTTAGCAAAAACAGAGCAGAGTGGCAGAATATCAAAGACGATTTTGAGAAAAATAATAATCTTCTGTCCGTTCCGTTGCAAGTTTTTCTATTAATCGATTCTGCTTAATAGACAGAAAATGCTTAGACATCTTTTGGCTACGGTTTGACAGACGAAATAGGCGGCATGTCTTGGTTATTTGTATATATGCTTGTTTGTGGTCGTTATTTTCGTTGGCTCAAATAAATTTACAGCCTTATAAGTTTATTACTTTATTTGATGTCACAAAATTTAGCAGATTTGCAAAATAGAATTTTTTTAATTTCGCTCTTCTTTTTTCAACAATAATGTGTTATTTCATAACTGCACTTACCTAAATTTCATGAACGCAAAAAATTGTCTGTTCTCTGAACATATATAATTAAAAAGTTTCTGCTTTTTATCAATGTTCTCTTATAGTACAACACGCAAAAACAAGGAGTTTTCTCCGTCGCGTTTAAAAGCATAGATAATCACTTGGATATCAACAAACGTTGGCTTGAGCCCCATTCCGCCCCCTTTTGCCCCCAGTATATAGATCTGAACTGAACTCTTTTCTAGTAAACAACATTTTGCACCTAAGTCAACTCAATGAACAAAATAAACAACCTCAAGTGTGTATTCAATCGCCCACTTAAATTTTGATCTTCAAATTTCATCAGATATACATTCAATAATCTATAAACTGTATATAAACATTCGTAATTTTCGAGCAGGAGTCAGAACACCCAAGTGTTCGCAGAATAGGCATCCGTAGTGTTAATGGCCGTGATCTCCCCACCCACTAGATTGACATTTGCGACATTAAGGACAAAAAAGACTTTTCAATATGTAGACATTGCATAAGAATGGGGGATTGGTCTTTCCGACTGTATACAGGACAAGCAGACGAACTCCATCAAGACAACTTATCGGCCTTATCTCACAATTGTGACGCTCTCCTGTTTAAAAAACGTGCTAAAAGGCAAAATTATCCCTTTTTATATCTTACACAAAACAAACATAATAGTTCGACCATCGCAAGCGAAGAAGCGCGTCATCGTCCAAAAGTTTTGGCGGTGACTTACAAATTAGTCTGTTCAAAGTGAACCCGACTTCCATGGCATCTATTTCAGTTTATTATCTGAGGGCCAACTGTACACTAATGGCAAACGAAGGTCAAGTACCGTCAGAGATGGGCATAGACAAAGTTGAACAGCTCTAAACCGAACCTTAAACGTACACCTAATCTTCTCGGAACTGGATGCACAACCGCATGCACTGTGGACGGTTCCTGGTCCCGTGTCCTGTTTAGACGGCCATACAAGTCATTCTTACCCAGACGGTAGCTGCCGAATCTACAGTGACTGAATGGCACGGTTTAGAAAAAGGTTCTCACTAGCCCAATCCCTGAATTTTGCTCCCTCTCCACCTCTACCCTATTTTGTGGTAAGACAAACAGGGAGTGCATGACAATGTTGTATGGTGAGGCAAGGAGCGTAAAGACTCACCTGAAAAACACTAGCATTCAAATGTGAGACGCTCAGGAAAAGGAGGTTGTTCTGCACAGCGTACAGAATGCCCGGCACACCGATGAGCAAATTGTCACGACAATCGGAGAAGATATTGACACGAAGGTTTGAAATGAAGCCGCGCAAGCTGAAGCCCTCTTGCACGAGGATGACGATGAGACAAACAAGGAGTTTTACTAACTCGCTCATCGCAACTGCAGTTGAGGAGATAAACATATCGCCTGGTCGCGAGCGGATGTAGCGCGAAAGCAGAACAGTGGATACATTTTGAAGAGTGAGGAGGACCAATGCAGCACGCTTCATAAACGTCTCGCCTGCAAGCAGAAGGATTTTAACATGCGTGCGGGTAAAAAAACATGCGAATGATTCGGATTGGCGCCATCACGGCGGCACTTAGGAGGAAAAAGGAAATAAAGGTGATATGGAAAAAAACGTAGCAGAGTAGGGTTTCCCGATGCACATTTTACAGCCTTGACAGTTTTAATGCAGCACAAACGATAGATCGCATGCGGTCTAACTGACAATCCCGAAGGGTTTCAA